AGTGCTGGGATTACAGGTGTGAGCCACCGCGCCCAGCCCAAGAAGGGTTCTTTTATATTTAGAATATAAAAATAGAAATGGAGACAGGAAGAAAATGGAATTTGTAAACTCTTCAAAGTAGTTTGGGTTTCTCTAGCCAGGGATGCAGCAGGACCAAGAAGCCAGGAGAGGACATCACTTACTATGGTACCTGCCCTTCATGCTTCAGACTCCCACGAAAGGACACACATGATAAAGCCTGCCTTCGTCTAAAGAGCAGTTCTATGGCCCAGCCATGCTCTTTCACTGAGTATCTTTTCTGAGTAAATGGAAATAATGGAAATGAATGACAGCCGTGTCTTAAGCAAAGAAGTCCAAAGGTTGGAGCTTTTCAAGTTGGTGAAGCAACTAGGCAACAGCAGAAAGGCCCCAGGTTCTTTCTCTGTTTCTACTTTGCACCTCACTACATTGGTTTTCAGACTTAGGCTCGGTACCTCATGGTCTTAAGGGGGCTGCAACAGCTCTAAGAATCAGGTCCTCTCATCATGATTCCTAGAGAAAATGCAGGCCAAGGCTCTTTACCTTCCTTCTTTTCGTAAGGGATCAGAATGCTTCCCAGAATCTCTGCTCATTCCTCACTCCCCTGACATCTTATTGTGGAGCTGATCTCATGTCCCCATAATTTCTGCTCCTGTCCTGGGCTGGGAGAAACTTGCTGTCTTTCCCATGCACAGCAGGACATAGTTGGTGCCCAAGAAACCAAAGGAGGGAGATGGCTGCTGGGCAGGAGACCACAACCTTAACACATTTAAATTTTGTCTTGTGTCTAAGTTGACCTGGATGGAGCAGAGAGATCCCAGCGTTCTCGGAATCTGGTGGTGTCGGAACAAACCAAGCTCTAAGGATGACAACAAAGTACAATTTCTAATTCTCCAGATGACAATGTTAGCTTCAGCAGCTGTGAAAATGTGGCTTGGGAATTGAAGGCCAGGACAGACTTCCAAGTACTGGAATAAATGAGGGAGAGATCTGCAATAGTGATGTGGGGGGCAGTGGTTATGGAAGGAGGAGGAAAGCTGTGTGCTAAGGTTGGCTGTGCCCCCTGCCACCTGAGTGCAGCCCTCCCTGTGCTGGTCACATCCCCATTTCAGTCTCATGCAGCCCCCTCTGTTTACATGCCTGCAAGGGCTATTTCTCCCATCCACCCTGTGGCTTTCTATCATGAATACGTACCTTCTTATACTTGAACCCTCTGGTATTGATAATATCAACAGCAATGGGATAACACCTAATGGAACGCAAAAGTTCCCTTTGGATATAGCAGCATGCTCACCTCTACCCAAAAGTTTAAAAAGACTCAAATCTGTTCAGTCCAATACCACCCAGGAAAAACTGACCTTCCCTCATGAGCCACAAGTCAGTCTGGATATCATTTAATCTGTGGTCTGAATTATGCAGGTGACAAAAACAGCACTTTGTATTAAAAGAATTTTAATGAAGGGACAGTTGAGAAAAAAAATTTAACATATGTAAATGTGTGCATGCCTCATTCAGATTTTATGAATCAGTTTTCTCTATATTCCTTTTATCTCCTGACCTCCAGCAGGATGTTTATGGTCGTTTCTGTAGAGGCTAACTCTCATGTCTTTGGCATTCAGGGTCCCAGATGTGATGAAGGTTCTGCACATGAGATGTGTCCCCACAGTGTGGTTTTCAGAAGTTGATGACGGTAGGGGAGATGCCTTCCAGAGGGGCTCATTTTCCTGGTCTGGGTCCTGGCCAGGCAGCACTGACTTGTGAGCACAGCATCCTGACTCACAAGTTTTCTGTCACAATCAGAGGATTTTTCTGCATAGAAACACAGAGAAAGGGGGAAGTGAAATGAATGTCTGTGCCCACTCCTCTGCTCTTTCCATCTGGTTTAGTTCACCTAATCCGTGACAATAAGCACGAGTTTGCTTCACCAGCCTTAATGTATCTGATTGCTTCAGTGACAGAAGAAGGGAAAAGGAATGAGCGGACTAGCTCCTGTACTTCTCTACTATGAAGCTGACCTAGAGGCCGTAGCTGGTGTTCACATCTCCTAAGCTCACTGTGCATTTCTTCTCCTCTCTGCTGCACTCGCGTCCAAGTGCATGTGTTGCTTCAGCTGTGTTACTCAAAACTTCACTCTGAAGTCTGTTGACGTTTCTCTCTCACTTTTACCAGTGGAAATGGCAGTAAATGGAAACACTCCTGGCTGGGCATGGTGGCTCATGCTTGTAATCCCAGCACTTTGGGAAACTGAGGCAGGTGGATCACCTGAGGTCAGGAGTTTGATACCAGCCTGGCCAACATGGTGAAATCCTGTCTCCACTAAAAATACAAAAACAAACAAACAAAAATTAGCCAGATGTGGTGGCAGGTGCCTGTAATCCCAGCTACTTGGGAGGCTGAGGAAGGAGAATTGCTTGAACCCTGGAGGAGGAGGTTTCAGTGAGCTGAGATTGCACTATTGCACTCCAGCCTAAGCAACAAAAGTGAAACTCTGTCTCAAAAAAAAAAAAAAAACAAAAACACATCCCTGAAGCTCCTCTACATTCCACATGTTCTCTACTTCCTCTCTAAAATACGTAGAAGGAAACCTATTTCCCCTTGATTATCAGGATCTATGACCCCAGCCCACACCATAAGACCCTTTGCTGATAGTTTATTTTACATTTTAATGAGAACTAAATAGCCACATGTTCGTTTCTTCCAATTTAATGCAGCAATTTATTATGCTAACCCATTGGATCAAGAACTGTCAACCAGAAAACCCCAGCCCTAAGTGAACAGAAAGAGAACTTTTCAATCTGCTCTGTAGGCATAATAAGTAGTGATGGGCTCACCCCTCATCTCTCAGATGCCCCTATTCTACTGATGGGAGTAACAGTACTATTATACACATTGGTGTTTGGGGGCCGCCACCACATCTGGTAAGACAGTGGTTTGATATCACAAGTGTTTGAGTGTTAGCTTCACCTGCCTAGTAATGGATTTTCTCCTTTCTGTAATGATAGCTGCCCCTGTACAGATGACCACATCATGAACCCACTTTGCCTCACTTTTTTTTTTTTTTTTGCTATAATAAAGTTAGTTTTTCCAGTGATAAATTATGTAAGGATTTCTTGACTTGAAAGCACTTGAAAAACTTTCAAGTAATGATTCTAGCAGAAACATGGCTGATAAGAAAGGCAAATACATATACAGGAAAATGACGACTGCCCTCCACGTGTTGGGTTTGGTCCACTGTACTCACTCGCTATCAGCTGTTAGTCTGATCTCAGATGTGTGTTACAATGTTAGGGTTTTAAGAAGGGTCATGGTTTTTGGCAAGTCAGATACTCAGTTGTGCCAATAGCCCTGTGAGCCTCATTAAATGAAATTCAGATGCATGAATCTCCATGGCATCGGTTCATGAGTTTCCCTGGGAAAGCTGAGAAAGGAGTCTTATTGAGGTCCTTGTGTTGGATCATCTTAATTATTAAGAGTTCCCCACGGCCGGGCGCGGTGGCTCAAACCTGTAATCCCAGCACTTTGGAAGGCTGAGGCGGGTGGATCACGAGGGCGAGAGATCGAGACCATACTGGTCAACATGGTGAAACCCCGTCTCTACTAAAAATACAAAAAATTAGCTGGGCATGGTGGCGTGTGCCTGTAATCCCAGCTACTCAGGAGGCTGAGGCAGGAGAATTGCCTGAACCCAGGAGGCGGAGGTTGCGGTGAGCCGGGATCGCGCCATTGCACTCCAGCCTGGGTAACAAGAGCGAAACTCCGTCTCAAAAAAAAAAAAAAAAAAAGAGTTCCCCACTAGGTAATGGCATTTAAATGAGTATTCACTTGGGTAACATTTATTTTTTATCTTGGCCCATTTTGAAAGGTCTGGTCATAGCTCTTCTAAACCAATTTTGTCTCCAGTTCTTAAGTTTTGTTTCTTCTGATATCTAATGACCTGTGCAAATTAATAATGGATGTCACTGCATTACCAGTCTCTCTTTGCAAAGTAGCCAGTGACATACTCTTGGTGTTAACTCACTATTGTGATTTCCAGCCTTCCAGGGCATCCTTGATGATGGCAGGGTGTGACATTGGTCCAGCACCCAATTGAGAACTCCGTCCAACATAGCATCATTGTGGACATGCATATAATGGGGACTTCCATAGGATGCAGTGATTAATTTTCAACATTAGGCAAAATTACCCTCATTCATATTCCTTACCCCTCCACTAAAATAGAAAGATATTTTAAGGTGCACGTACTCATTTGGTGAGTGCTAGAAATAAAGATTGGAAAGGAATTTCCTGTAGCCAGAGAAGGTAGCATACATTGTTTTGGACATCTGGTTTTTCATGGGGAGTAACTGGAATCATCTTAACAGATTAAATTTATATAATAATTTCATACATATGCATATGTTGCTTATATACATATAAACATATTTAAATAGCCTTATGTACACGTATTCATGTGTGTACATGAGGCTATTTAAATATGTTTATATGTGTATAAGTATTATGTGTACATAATACTATGTACACATGAATATGTGTACATAGTATTTACTATAAGCTATTTATATATGTTTATATGTATATAAGTATTAGGTGTATATAGTATTATGTACATAGTATTTACAGCTGACAATTTATCAAATAAATATATGTGGAATAGTATGTGTGTTATATACACTAAAATGTGTGCATTTTCCATAAATTACATATGTTACTATTTTTATTGATACATTATTCAATATATTTGATATAGTGACATTTTAAAATTTCATCTTAATATCTTTAAAAATAGATTAATAAATACTCATATTTTTACACCAGAGAACCCCATCTCTAGTATCTGCTTCACGAAGAGCATATGCCAGGTTTTGGAAGTCTGTAGTTTAGACTTTAATTTATTCAGTTAAAACAATTCCTGCTTGGAATGTGTGGCTTGCATTTTACTGTAAGAATTTCAATTTCCCCATAACATAGACTCCTCAGGGAGACTAATCTCCCTTCTTTACTAAATCTGAAGAGACATTGCCGTGAGAGGAAACAGACTTAGGGTGGAGAGACACTTTTATGGCCTGCTCTTTCATAATCTCCCAATAACCTTCAAAACTCTGGCTGAGTCTGACAAGTGTTATCAGCAGATGGTTGCACAAAGAAGAGCAGCTGGGGCAGCCCAGCCTCAAGTGTCTGCTTTCCGGGGGGGTTATTGTTATGACTAGTAACACTGTGAGAGGGAAACTGCTATACTGTTGACAGTAGTAAGTGGCAAAATCATCAGGTTGCAGGCTGCTGATGGTGAGAGTGAAATCTGTCCCGGATCCACTGCCACTGAACCTCGAAGGAACCCCAGATTGCAAACTAGATGCAGCATAGATCAGGAGCCTAGTGGCTTTCCCTGGTTTCTGCTGGTACCAGGCTAAAGCACTACCAATGCTCTGACTTGCCTGGCAAGTGATGGTGACTCTGTCTCCTACAGATGCAGATAGAAAAGTTGGAGACTGGGTCATCTGGATGTCACATCGGGCACCTGAGATTGGAGGCATAAAAACAAACATCCAGTCAGTCGATCATGTTATATGAGGACCTCCATGAAGAGCCAGGCTGTACTGAGCACACTGGGCTGAGTAAATTCCTAGTGTTCTCCTTCCTTACCTGGAAGCCAGAGCAGCAGGAGCCCCAGGAGCTGAGTGTGGACCTTCATGTCCATGCTGTGTCCTGACTGGGACTGACTCCTGCACAGGGTGTGACCAACCTATTAAGAAGTCTTCAGGGCAGGGGCTGTGCTGTGGGAACATGCAAATCAGCAGGGGCTGGGCAGGCTGGGTGCAGCTGCAGGGCTGGCTCCTCTCTGAGCCAGTCCCTTGTGTCCCCGGTGTCTCAAGTCAGAGGGCCACACAGATTTGTCTGTAAAGAACATGTTTCCTCTTGGGGTCGTTTTGTAACAAATAACTTTTTTTTTTTATAATTGTCAACATTTGAAATACTCTTGAGTACTTGATGGAAGAATGTTTTCCATATGTGTATGGGAATTCATTAGGGGAATATTCTTATTTGTAGGAAATTCTGTGCAGTTTTAGAGGGTGGGATCATCAAGTCTTAAATATATTCTGCAAGGCAGGGGGTACTTTGTGCTATACTTACAACATTTCTGTGAGTGTGAAATTGTTCTTCCTTAAAAAAAAAAGAAAGAAAATTTTACAAGATAATGCTAAATATATTTGAAAGTATTTTGTAATGACTTAAGCCATTCTCACATGACTATACAGTCAAGCAATTCACCGCAAATGCGTAAAGATGAAACCACAAGTTCTCAAAGCCTGCATCACTCACAGATTCACCATTATTTAATCCTATAAACTACCTTAATGCCAAGAAATTATATGAGCTGCATCTTATATTTTTGGTTTGAGGATCTCCATATTTCACCCTTTGTTCTGTCATTGGGTGTTATTTCCCGGGGGTTCTCCGCATGAAGAGCTGACTGGTGATGCCAGATCTGATTAACTTCAAAAATAATAACTTGTTTCTTCCTGCATTTACCAGAGCCTGGATTAGAATAAACTTGAAATTATCCAGGGATCAGCTGTCTTCACAAGTAGGAAGACCAAGATTGTATCCCCTGAGTAATGCTGAACTCCCCACCTGCATGTTCCTGGGGGCTCAGGTGCAGCTCCTCTGAATCATGGACTTCTGGAGAGCAGGTGATATAGAGACTATGGAAAAAATAAGGACAGTGAGCCCTCTCTCCTGGGAGGGCAGCTGCTGCTCAGTGCATGTCCCTGCCTTGCACTATCAATGCCACTTTCCGCTTTGATTCTTCAGCAGTGAGTGGGAATGTTATCCTGATCCAGATGCCGGGCTTCGGTCTCACATCTAGAACACAGAGTTTCTATCTCCTATCAAGCAAATTTCCATACCTATGGAGAAATTACTTGGATCCCAATAAAACTCGTAACAGATTTGCACCCAATTATATCTCACACCTCTAACAGGGCTGTGAACCTGGGAACCAAAGGCTCTGCCCACAGGTCTGCCTCACAGGGGCTTCAGGGAAGGAAACTGCTCACACACTCCTGGGCACTGCACCGAGGCCAGAGTCTGCTATCAGAATGAAAGTCTCAAAGTCAAGAGCTTTAGGGCTGGCCCCAAGCTCCTGGGGTGAGCTGCTCTCAGCTCTGTTCTCACTGATTCTCAATGACCAGAACCATGCTGGAGCCAAAGAGGTCAGCAAATGTCCCCAGGGTCCTGACAGAGCCTGATGCTGTTATAGTTAGAAGGAAAAAGGAGCACATGCTAAATAAATATGAAATTATGTGTATCTGTATGTATGCATTTGTAACAAACATTACATAATAAATATGTATAATATTATAGATGTAAATTGCAATGATATCTTTGTATATACTATGCATATATATTATGAATAAATATTGTGAAAGAAAAATATCTTGGGCTCCCCAAATCACTAAGCTAAAGGGAAAATTTTAGCTGGGAACTGAATAGGGCAAATGTGCCTCCCATTCTTTTCAAAGTCACCCCTCTGCTCTCTGAGATAAAGGCATATCTGTTTGCCTCCTCTGGAAAGGCTAATCAGAAACTCAAAATAATGCAATCATTTGTATCTCACTTACCTTTGACCTGAAAAGCCCCTTCCCTTCCAATTCCTTGCCTTTTACTTGGAGTTGTCCAGCCTTTCCAGACCAAACCAATGTTCATTTTACATATGTTCATTGATGTCTCATATCTCACTAAATTGTGTAAAACCAAGCTATGCTCTGACCACATTGGAAACATGTCTTCAGGACCTCTTGAGGCTGTGTCATAGGTGCGTGTCCTAAACTTTGGCAAAATAAACTTTCTAAATTAACTGATACCTGTCTCAAATGTTCTGGGTTCACAATATAATATGCACATTTATATAAATAGGCATATTTTTAATCATTGGTATAAAGTGTGATGTTAAACTTTGACGCATGAACACTGAAAACCAGCAAGGGCGTGCCACCCCATGATCCTTTCTCACCACAGAGCCCTAGGGTCATAAAGCTCAGGACCCTCCCTGATGTCCCCACTGGGTCAAACTGTGGCAGTCTAAGGTTGAGAATGCTGAGTGACACCCGGGCAGTCTGGGGAGCCCAGAGCTGCAAGTGCTGAGGAGAGGGGGCAGTGGGTCTGGGGCCCCTGTAGAGAGACATTTTATACTAAGGATCAGCATGGGTAGTTCCTCTCCTGGGGACTCCCATCAGAGCAGCACGCATGACTCAGTGGCTGTGTTCATACACAAACACACACACATTTGATGGTCTTTGGCAGCCTCCTCTCTGACTGCAGCAATGTGGGATCTCTCTGACCAGCTTTTGTGGCCCACAGGACTGCCAGGACTCTATTCAGAATGGGCCTCCATGAAGGCAGCTCAGTTGCTGATGGCCAGAGTGACATCTGTCCATGTCCAGCACCCTTGATCCAGGCCTTGTATCCAGGGGGAATCATGAACTGGCAGAAGCTCAAAAGGGGTCTGGGTTCAGCTGTTGCCAGGTTAGGACACTGTTACTACTCTAGCTGGCCCTGCAGTTGACAGTGACCTCTCTTTTGGGACACAGGGCAAAAGGCTAGAGACAGGGTGCATACAATGTCCCCTCTGACATCTAAGTGGAAAGCAAACATGCACATTGCAAAATATTAATTGCAAACAAGTTGTTCCTGCAGTTTGATGTAATTCCAATCAGAAAGTGAAAAGGCTAATTACCTGTTGGTGAAGAAAACATTTGTGTTTAATGTAACCAAACTGAGGATGAAGCCTGAGTCATCCCTCTTCACCAGAGAGTCTGACAGCAGCAGGAAGAGGAGCAGAGCTGAGTCTCCACGTCCACGAGGGCCTCCTGAGGCTGATCCTGCTCAGAGAGGGTTGGGACTGTGGGTGAGTCTGCTGGCACTGCAACTTCAAAGTCCCACAGCCTGGATGACTTAAACAATAGAAATTTGTATTCACATTTCAGGTGGCTAGAAGTCTAAGATTAAGGTCCAACCAGGTATACATTCTGTTAAGGACTTTCTTCCTGTTTCATAGACAGCCATGGAGAAAAGGGGATGAGGCTTGGGGAGAGAGAGGGAGAGGCAGGGAGGAAAGGAAGAGAAGAGCTCTCTAGTTTCTATTCTGATAAGAAAATTAATTCTATTGGAAGGAGTCTCATGCTTAGGATCCCCTTTAGCCCTGTCTACTTTGACCATCTCCTGCAGCTACACCGGGGGTCAGGACCCGACTTCCAGTCTCAGAACACCGAGCACAGAGCAGATTTTCCCCACAACTCAGCACCCTGGCAGCTCCTCCCAGGGGCTCTACATCACACATGAGATTCTGTTCCAACCTAAAGGCTCCCTGTTGACAGTGAGACACCATCACCGTTACGTTCCCAGTATTTCTTAGATCATAGCACTCTCTTTTATATTGTGGGATTCGTTTGCCATCTAGGGGCACGTGTTTGACATAGCAATACACATGATTTTTACTTTGTAATAGTGAAAACAAATTAATTTTACATAAATAATAAATTAAACTGAATACATTACATGTTTAAAAAAATCAAAGTCCTACTGAAGAGCTTAAAAAGAGTGTGAAGAGACAAAAAAAAAAAAGATTCCTTTCACAGGAGGCGTGTTAGTCACAGACGTAAGTCTTCCATTCGCAGATGACTTTTTAGCAATAATTATCAACAGTAAATGACAACTTTAATAGACTGCCACAATATGATTGTACATTCAAAAATTATTTCCAAACATTATGTAAATATATTTTCAAATTATAACAGACAAAAATGCGAGTTTATCAGGAGATTCACACAATAAAACATTTCACAAACATGTCTATGAGGCAAAAAACATTTATCCCTGGTGGAAAGCTGGAATTTTCTTTGGTCTTTAGAAGAAAAAGGTGGCTCTCCGGGGTAACAGCTTTCTCTCCTCTCTGCTCCACCTCATGCTGCTGAGGAGTGGATGTGGGGGCAGTAACCGTGAGGAAGAACGAAGGCTGTGCTCTGAGGTTTTGAGGCTTCTTTATGATAAATTTGATTATCTTCTGGTTCATCTTGTATCCCTTTTCAGTGTTTGAAATCACTTTTTTTTTTTTAGCATTTTGATTGGACAGTATAGCCCTTGGGATATCAACATCATGTAGGCTGTATGTTTCCTTGTTAAATACACCTAAACATCTGGAGTGGGTTTAGACCTTATCCCCTGTCTCACATCAAAGCAGAATCTACAATGAGTAGGGGCTGTCCATCATGTGAGTACAAAAGATGATAATGGCACTGTTCAGCTCCTGCTCTTGCTACTCACACTTCGTTTCTCTGCAATAGCATTCTGTAAAAACACTTACGCTCTATGATGCATTTATTAGCATTTTAAAATAGTGTATTAAGTATCTAATGTTTTTTAGTTTGAGGGCTCCAGTCTGCATGATTTCTATACATATTTTGCAGTATACCTATTAAACTTAATAGAAATGGCACTTTGGAATTTTAATTGCGCTGGCCATTGAATCCATTATCACAGAAGAGAAAATCATCTCTGACAGATTTTAAACCCTAAGCCTGAAGCAGGAGCTTCTTGTTCTGTTCCTTCAATCATTCTTTTGTCTCTATCACACCACATTCTGCCATGTAACTGACATGACTCATCATTAAGTTTGATGGACATTAAAATACTATTTTAAGTGATA